TCTTATTTTTTAAAATACCCAGGAGTACAAAAAAATACTCTTTTGTACTATTATTTTTTATTACCTCAAATCACATTATTCAAAACTAAACATTACCAGCATTAGGTCTAAATTTTATTGTAGATCTTTCTGCAAGACTACATAGAGAGAGAAAGGAGATAAGTTGATTTGTAGAACTGGGATCATATTAAACACACTTTAAAATTTTAATTATTTAATTTAATTATTATAGATTTAACAGAAAGAAAGGAAATTGGAAGAAAATTGAGGAAATTGTTAAACTCCAGATAAATTGCTCACACAAAAGAGACATTATTTCCTAGGAGATCACCTTAAAATTAAGAAAAAAATTATTTGTACAAAATTTAGGAGTTTGTGATTATTTTATATATAAATGGTAGATAGATAATGTATGTTTAATTATCTAATTACAAATTTAAATAATAATTAATTTTTAAAAGCTTTAGTGAATTGCAGACTCTGTGCTCTGCAAATTGAGGAAATAAGCAATCTAACACAGCCTCTTACCTCCCCTATTTCCCCACTCCAATATTTGTTAGGTACATACTTATTTTTGCATCATGTTGCATATAAATATTTAACCTTCTGCTTATAACCATAATTCACAGTATTGCTTCTATTAGTTCTATATTTAAATTGCTTGTAATTTCATCACAAGGCTTTTTATCAGAATTTCTTCAATCCCAAATTGTTCATTTTCCTTCAACTCTTGGTTAGCTGGGTGTTAGTGAAAGTGAAGGGATTAGCCTGCACATGAAAAAGGAACTCCTCTCTCTGAGATAAAAGAGAGAAGAATGGGCAGACGAAGTTCAGTTTTTAGGTCACAGAGGAGGATATCGGGAGAATATCTACTTAGGAGTCACAGTTACTTCAAAGGTGTAGGAGGCAAGGTCAGCATTTAGAGTGAGGGAACTGGTGCTGGGGTGGGGCTTCAAAAGAAATAAGACTTTGTACCCTGCTCATGGGAGTGGGAGAGGATGCCAACAAAGGACGAATAAGGACTTCTGGACAGTCCTGAGGGGCCAAGTGGGAAGGAATGGATTTATAGTAGCAGCAACTGAGTCATTTTCTTATATAGCACTCAAATGGAGGTGGTGGAAATGAGGAGAGAGAGAAATGGAGTTTTTCAAAAATAGAATGGCCATAAAGGAGAAGAGCAGGTAGATTGGAATTAGCAGTGAGAGAGCTGAAAGGGGGAAAGCTGTAGTTAGTGAGCGGGGTGTTGAAGCTCAGCACTCTGAGCACTTCCAGACAATGGGAAGGTCCATGGAGGTGAGTTACCAAAAACAAAAAGAGGTGAAGGAGGTCCAGGAGCTGAAAGTCAAATGCACAAGCATCCATCCACATGCTAAACAGCATTGCCAAGCAAGAGTTTTGAGAGAAAGTGAAGAGAAGAGGTTCTAGCTTAAAATCTTGGAGAACTTTGGGCAAGGAGGGAGAAAGGAGATGGAATTGGAGTGTTCGAGGTATAGAAGGATAACCGAAAGAATGAGGAGCTGTGAAAGGAATGGAGAAGAGGATTAAGGAAGAAGGAATGGGGTGACAACGGCCACTGGTTTTAGAGGCGAGGTCACTGTTAACATTGGAGGAGCCACCTTAGTGCATGTGAAGAGTAGAAATAAACCATTTTGGGTCCCCAGGAGCAGTCCCTGGAACAAGGATTAAATGCAAATTGTTTATTCAAGGAGTGATTCTAGGAAATACTTGTAAGGGGAATTGAGACAGGGAAGGGAAGGCAGGAATTAAGGATGCATGATAGAACAAATTGTAACTATGAGTAACTGGGGCTCAATCCCAGTAGGAAACTCTGGGAGCTGGTTTAGAACACATGTCTCAGAATTATCCTGCCTGAGGGGTGATGGAGCTTGGGTATTTATATGCCAATTGCAATAAACATTAATTCATGATTGATCATTACTCCTGGGTAGCATGGACTCTCCAGCATTTTGACCTGGCACAATGTTCAACCAGAGCAGAATTGGGCTGCCACAGAAAACTTTCAGACCAATAGATCCAGAGGCTTGCATGCACTAAATGCTAAGACCCAAAGGGATTTGAGCAGGAAAGTGAGTGTCTGCTGCAGGAAGGAAGCCAAATTGTGAAGGGTGCAGTCAGAATGATGAAGTAGAGGTATCAAGTGTAGACAATTCCTCCAAGAAGTGTAGTGGTGAAGGGAGGACAGAAGAAATGTATTATTATGGTGACTTGAATTTGTGTGGCTTTAATGATTTTTATGAATAATGGTTTCTAACACTTGTCTGACCACTTGGAGACTGGTACCCTACCAAAATATTGTGACATACCTGGCTGATCACGCTACCTGGTTTATCCAGAGTAATTTAAATTTTGACAAATAACAGCTGCAATTATGGAATTATAGCCTGTCAGACCAAAAAGGGATCTTGGAAAGGCACTAGTTTTAACCCTTAATTTTATGCATGAAGAAAAGGAGATCAAACATGATGTTTATGTTCCTAACTATTTGTAACAAGCATTTGAACCCTGCCGCTCCCTGGCTGTGACTCAGACAATGCATCATCAGAACCATTGCACCAGCCTTTCACACTGGATGAGAGACAGAACCAGATTAAATGAGATTTCTATGTGTGATTAGCCACAAAAACCAACTTGGCCTGACCACACCAGTTTTATCAGGTCCTCCTGGTCTGCTTTTCACAATTTTAACCCCCTGCCCAAATTTTTATGAATTCCATTTTCCCAAACAAAACTGCTCATAGATTCAGAAATTCCACACCAACAACAACCAAGTGGATTTACACTTGGGAAAAAACAGAATATAAATTTTATTTTTCTTTGACTTCCCCTCTTAGTGACTAACACAGTGCTGTACATTTAGCAAGCATATACTAAATATCAAAATAAAAGTTTAGGAAAATTTTAAAGTCTTAGCATTATCATCAGATGCTCAGTAAATGACAGGCAGATGTGTCATGAGATGCTGCAATCAGGAAAAACCAAGCATGTCAGGAAAGATTATAAGAATATACTAATTTGTACATGTATTTAATGACTTCAATTAATTAATTACCATTAACAGCCTAAAATTTTGTGACTTAATGAGAATTTAAGAAGCCAGTGACAGAGGAGAATAAGGAGATCCACAAATTCTACTTTCCTTGCTGTTAGCTTGTTCTCTACTTTGGTGAATGGGGAGAAATATCCCTTTCATCTGGAGGCTATCAATTCTCTTCAAAATGATGGACATTCAAACACAGGAAAGTAGTTCGGATACAAGGATCAATTCCAGTCAGTTCCTGTTCACTGCATTTCTAGGGAGTGTCAACCAAGAATGGGAGACGAAGAAAGACCTTACAGAGCCTAAGATGTGGGGGAAAGGTTAGGAAACAAGTCATTGTTGATCTCTTGAAGTCCAGGAGCAGCACCATGGGGTGAGGTTGCAGAATTAGGCTGAAGGGAGCCTTGGAGAATTGTGTCTTCAATGAGGCTTAGCATGAACCCAAATTTGGACCCAGCAACTGAAGCCTGAAACAAACCATCCTGGCCATTAACTTAGAAAAGAGGAAAATACCAAAGAAAAGTTATGGGAGTTTTTTTTTTTTTAATGGGCAAAGAAAGTAATAGGAGCCACAGTCACGCAAGGGAAAGTATAGAAGCAGAGGAATATTCAGTTCATTTAACAAACGTGCTTAACACGTTCAGTAAACAAGTATGATATCAGACACTGAGACATGGACTAGGGAACAAATAAGCAACGGGTATTCAATCCCTTTGGTCTAAGAAAGATTTCAAATATTGAGGAGAGCTCAAGCCCCAATGTGCAAACACTTTTTAAGTCTTTGATTTTATCACATTTACTAAATCCCATTGGCCAAAACACGCCATGTGGCCAAGATCAGAGTCAGTGTGGGAGGGAACTAACGAAAGGAAATGATGCAGAGAGACATAAACAAAATAAGGACCATTACTGCAACATTCTACTATTGGATCCTGTGGGAGTTACATCTCTGAGTTATCCCATCAAAGAATGAGGGACCCAGGAAATTAAGCCACCAGCTCTCATTCTTCCTTTGTCGAGGGTTACACCTCAGGGGCATCAAATCTCTTGGACTTCTACCTGCCCTAAGCCAATCAAGCATGCTTCCACAATCAGAACACCTCAGGAAGAGGGAAACGTGAAGGCTTTGGCCCCTATAGGTACTGTCTACAGGTGACCTCCAGGGTAGGTAAAGGGAATCCAGGAAGAGCATCAAAACATCATCAGCCACATAGAAGGCATAAGTAGATAAAAACAGAGAAATCACAGACAAATAGGAGTGCTCTTTTTAAGCAACTGGAGTGCTGGCAATATGCTTCGTGATAGATTTATGATACAGGGCGTGTGAGGCAATGACTGTCAACAGCAGGGAAGTCTTCACAAGGCAGACAATGTCAAGTTGAAGTGAATCTGCATTGAGGCTCATAATTCAACAGGTTGAAGTAAAAGGGTTTATAGAGGATGGCAGAACATACGCAACAAAGTGCACTGGGGTTTTAGAAGGATTACAATTGGTTTTACCCGACTAGATGCTAAGAGAGACAGGGAGATGGAGCCAAAAAAGTGGACTGAGGTCAGTTCATGAGGGGCCACCCACACTATGTTTGGATTTTGTGGGCAGGTATAAGGGGGCATGGAAGGATACTTGGAAAGTATGATAGAGTTGCCATATACAGGAAACCCTAGGATAACAAGCTGAGCTAAGAGTGAAGTGGAGGGGCCTTGATCCCCCAGCCTGTTCCTTTGTCCTAGGGAACTATTCATGTCCTGGAAGCATGTAGCACCATCCTTTTTAACTGATGATCCTAGGAGAGAATCAGGTTACATGTCTTGGATCCCATGGCCACTGTCTGACGAGATCAGGGATGCTGATAGCTTAATTGTTGTCCTTGAAGCGACAATGGATGGCTGGTAGAAGCAGCCACTTTTATCCATCAAATTTATTCCAGCTAAGAATACAATGATTGAATGTATCCTACTTCATCCCCTGGCACACAAATACATGAATCTGAAACAAGCCCCCTAACTTAGAAGCCAAACAGAAAAGCCAGGACAGCAGTGTTATCCCAGCACTCCCGAGAAGTAGCTTATTCGCTGATATTGCAAAAGAATAATGCATGTTCTTAAATTTTCACTTCTAAGATAATACATGGAAATTTTGCCTTAGGCTAGAAAAGAACTATTTGTGAATAAGGCTGAGATTCACCTACTCTTCATCTGTCTTATTGCCTGGTTGTCATTTTAGACTTGATATGAATCAGTTGTGTAGTTCTTGGGAGTAAATTACAGTTTGAATCCACTGTGGATTAGTGGCTCATTTCTACAATAGGTGTCCACATCCATGGGTTGCAGACAACCCAAGCTGTTTCACATTTTCGTGTTCCTGGTCACAGGAAAGAGTGGCTCCTAGAGTCACAGAGGAGAGCTGAGTGTTGTCCACAGAGAACAAATGCTTAGGAGAAACTCAGAAAAGGGGCAAGATGGGCCTAGAGCCAAGTGTCCTGAGTGCCAAGTCAATGACTTCCCACTCTCCCCTCTAACTTCCCTTCAAATAGGTAATTCCCTGCTTACAAATAACTAGTTCCAAAGGAACATCCATCCACACAGTCATATTTTATTGACAAGTCTTTATTGAGCCCTGCAGAGATAAAGCACATTGAAAGGGTTGGGTTCTACAGACAGAAAGGTGACATTTTCAGATTTACATGCAAAGAAAAGCATATTATGGTTGGCTAGCCCAGTTTATAAGACTTCACCTGATCTGCTGTCTCCACCTAGCTCTTACAAATACCTGTTGTATGAGCTGGGATGTGGAAAACTCTGTTGAGCAACTGGTTTCTGGTTCTATACACAAAGGACCTTCTCATACCAGGCTAACCTTATAATATGCCCCAGTAAATTCAGGCTGAATAATATCCTCTGTCACATCTGGTTACTCTAAGAAATGATGTCCTCACTGCACAGGACTCCTCCTGTTGCAGAGGAGCTGAAGGCACATAGAAACAATTAGGCTTCTCTGCTGCATGAGTGGCATCTGTTCAAAGGAGCTGTCAAAACTTCCACTCCTCTAGTGAAATCATATTTACTTTATTCATCTAAATAATGTGGCTTGTTTGCCTTCTGTATGAAATTGTCTTGGTCTGTTTCTCGTTGATTGATTTTTATGAGATAGCATATCATTTTCTGTGCATCCATATGACACTCTGCTAAGAATGGAATGACTCCTTATTGAATAGTTCCAATTATCATATCTTTTTATAGTTTTAGAATCACTAGATTTATTCAAAATGCCCAGCTTCTCATCCCCATTTTATTCACTGCCCAACTATACTCCCTCCAAATTAAAAGAAGAATGATCAAAATAAATAAAAATCATAAGTGAAAATTTAAAAATAAAAACCACATACTTTATATTCCATTCCAAACATGTTGCTCTCTGTTTGGGTAATTAAAGCCATTGGAACCCATTGAAATGTGATATATATGTTTTTAATACTATTTTTAAAGCAATTTTAAGTTTACAACAAAATTGAGAGAATGGTATAAAGATTTCTCATATAATCCCCAGCCCCAACACACATACTCCCCCTTTTATCAGCATCACTGACCAGAATGGTACACTTTTACCAAGGATGAACCTACACTTATGTATCGTAATCACCCCAAAATTCATAGTTTACCTTAGGGTTCACCCTTGGTATCAACTTTGTAGATTTGGACATAAGTATAATGACATATATCCATCATTATAATACCATACAAAATATTTTGACTTCCTCCCAAATCCTCTGTGCTCTGCCTATTCCTCTCTCCCTCCGTCCTCCTTCCTTCCCTGGCAAATGCTGATATTTATTTATTTATTTATTTATTTATTTTTGTCTGCACAGTTTTGCCTTTTTAAGGATATCAGATAGTTGGAATCATACAGTATGAGACTTTTCAGACTGACTTCCTTCACTTTAACAGTATGTGTTTTCATGGTTTGATAGTTTATTTCTATTTTTTTAATTCTTATTTTTTACTGAAATGTAGTTGATTTACAATTTTAGTTTCAGGTGTACAGCAGCAAAGCAATTTAGTTATGCATATATATATATACATATATATATTCAGATTCTTTTCTTTTACAGCTCATTGCAAGAAACTAAATACTGTGCTATACAGTAGGCCCTTGTTGTTTATCTATTATGTATATACTAATGTGCATCTATTAATCCCAAAATTCTAATCTATCCTTCCCCCTACTCTCTCCCCCTGGGTAACCACAGTTTATTTTCTATGTCTGTGAGTCTATTTCTGGTTTGTAAATAAAATTTGTACCTTTCTTTTTAGATTCCACATATAAGTGATATCATTTGATATTTGTCTTTTTCTTTGTGATTTATTTCACTAAATATAATAATCTTTATGTCCATCCATGTTGCCGCAAATGGCATTATTTCAATCTTTTTTTGGCTGAGTAATAGTCTATTGTGGGGTGTGTGTGTGTGTGTGTGTGTTTATACCACATTTTCTTTATCCATTCATCTGTTAAAGGACATTTAGGTCATTTCTTTTTAGCGCTGAATAATATTCCATTATCTAGCTGTACCACAGTTTATTTACCCATGCACCTACTGAAAGACATCTTGGTTGCTTTCAGTTATTACTAACACTGCTACAAGTATTTACATGCAGTATTTTGTGTGGACCTGCATTTTCAACCCATCTGGGTAAATACTAAGAAGTGCAATTGCTGGATTATATGGTAAAAGTATTTTTAGCTTTCTAAGAAACTGCCAAACTGTCTTCCAGAGTGGCTGTACAATTTTGCAGTCTCACCAGCAATGTGTGAGAGTTCCTGTTGCTCCAACTTCTCACCACCATTCAGCAGTAACAGTGTTCCAGATTTTGGTCATTCTAATAGATGTGTAGTGATATGTTATTGTTGTTTTAAATTGCAATGCCTCGTGACATGTGATGTGAAGTATCTGTGCTCATTTGCCACTTGTATGTCTTCATTGGCAAGGCCTCTGTTATGGTCTTTGGTCCATTTTTAACTGGGTTCTTTGTCTTCTGATTGCTGAATTTAAGAGTTCTTTGTATATGTTGAATAGCAGTCCTTTATGTGTCTTTTGCAAATATTTTTTCCAAGTCTGTCACTTGTTTTCTGAGTTCTCATGGTATTGTCTTTCATAAAATAGAAGTTTTTACTTTTAATGGAGTACAGCTTATCAATTACTTATTCCATGGATTAAGACAATTGGCAAAAATATAGATAACATCTATAAAGTTTAAAATAACATTATATCAACATTAGTTTTCTGATTGTGATACTTGTTTGAGCATTTAGGTGAATATTAGCTGAACATCCTTCTAAGTGGGAACCTTACTTGCACAGGCTGGTTTTTTTTTTTTTCTGAAAACTATGTGTTGTAAAGATCTTTCTGTGGCCACAAGGAAAAATACAGCATCATTTTTACAACCATTCACTGTTGAAAATGCAATAAGCTTTCTTTCTTCTAAACCCCCTGTCTTCCTTCACAACCTTTATTGTGCTTTTGTGACTTTGTCCCAATGAGACTGACACCGATGATTCAATATTTAACTCATCCTTGATAGCGCTATTGTCAGATATATGAAGTTGGATATAATAAATACATACGTAAATAAATAAAGGTCAAAACATGAATCCTTTCCTCCAACCTCGTTACCTATATGAAATTTAACATGATACCAATAATGTCCCATTAACAAATCACATTTGATATTGACTTAACCAAGTATAGCCTTCTTCTGGGTTATTCCAGGTTTTGAAGAACAATTTGCTTGTGAAGAGCCAGCACATAATTTCACAATTTGGGCATTCACTTTTCACCTATTCTTCTCTTTTATCATTTAGAGATAACCTCAACCCCAGAGCTGATGTCAGATAGCGCTTAGTCTCTCTTGGATACCACAACTGCTCCAAAGAGCTTGGGCCTAACTACAGACAAAAATAACAGATAGTCTAGCCATGTCTGCAATCAACTGGGTTTTTTCCCCTCTAATATCTGAGGGTATTTCTTCTACTCCCAGTTCACAACTCCCAGTTGTGAGTTTCTATGAGTTCAAACCTTCTTAAGATATGGCTTCTGCCAAGCACTTATTAGAGTCCTAGGCTGTTCAGAACTAGAAGATACAATCACTTGCATCACTTGTTGGCTCACAAATTTTTTATTCAGCTAGCACTGTGCTTTCCATCTGTTTGTCCTAAGGAAAGGGAGAGATCCACCAGTTTACCACAAGCCCCCACCACTCCCTATTGCCTGATACCTGATTCACAAACTTATAGTGCCTGCTTGACCACAAAGCATTAAATGTTTTATGAATACCCAAAATGCCACACCCAGAGAGATTTAGTTATTCACATGGAAGCACACAGCTACTCAGCAACTCCTGCCAGAATCTAGACCCACCTGGGTTTTTTTATTCATTCAAAAATATTTATGAAATATTTACTTCATACCAGATACTTGTGAGCAAAACAAACATTGTCCTCATGGAGCTTGCTGTTTACTTGTTCCCAGGTCTGTCTCCAGAGAAAGCATTCTTTTTAGCATACCAGGATTATTTTGAAGATGATGATTTAGGCAACGTGTCAGTAGCTCACATTTTTTTTGTTTAAGATTATTCTATTACTATGTACAAAGCCAGCCTTGTGTATGAATCTTCCCATAAAAAGGGAGTATTTCCTTGCTACAAAGTGTGCATTGGTTCACTTGGCTATGGGTCGGAGTGACTCTGCTAGGACTGACTTGGAATATTCAGTTGGCTGGCTGACAATGAGAATAAGGCAAGACAGATGATCAGAGCCCATAGAGAAATTACTCACTACCAGCCTTTGATAGTAAATTAATAGCATAAAAATGAAAACTTAAAGGTCTCATCTGAGAAGTATGAACCAAGAGAGGTTCAGGGTTCCAGGTTTAAGAGTGGGCTAGTGATGCAGGACATTCTACAGAAAATGCCTGGATAAATGGCACATCCTGGCCACACTGTGGAAGCCGATTGGTTCCCACCCATGCAACGGAGGAGGTGTCATCCAAAGTGGACCTGAGTGTCCCTCACCACACTGGGCTGTCAATCAGACTGTCCTCATCCATGCCCTGGAATGACAGCTGTGGCTTCATAGCTGATACACAGGTCTGCTCAGAAAAAAAACGTTTTCTACTTCGTGATGGGAATATTTAATCTAAGTATCAGGTTAAACACTTTGTTGTTGGTAATTAAGAAATAAAATCATGCTAAAGATGTGCTTCTCCCTTCCTTTGCTCTAAAGTTGACATTCAGACCTGTCTGTATGTAAGCTTCGGAATTTTTGCTGAGATCAGCTTGCTTTACACATAATCCAGGGAAACCAACAATAGTCCCTGGGTAAATGTCAGTAACATACAGGGTTCATTGCTTGATTGACCTGGAAGGAGACAAATTCCATGTGGAAAAGAAATTTTAGAGAGAGTGAAAAATAGGAGAAAGATATGGGCTTCAAAGCCAGCTAGGTCTGTATTGAAATGAGCTTCTCTGAACTCTGTGCCCTCATACTTAAAATGGAGATAGTAGCACCCACATCTGTAGAACTGCTATGGTCTGATTTTTTTAAGAGCCTGGCATATTGTGGCAATGTGAATTTACAAATGGACCTCTCCTTTGAGCTGTTTTCTGCTAGGAACTGGCAATATCCTGGTTTGCAGCCTTACACTAAAGATGGCTTCCCTCGTGCATCAGTTACACCATCTAGCAGGTCTGAAAATGCTGGCATTGATGTCCTGCCTGCTGGTGGGGGGATGACAATCAGAAAGTTCCAAAGCAGCAGCCAGCACCTTTACACATACTTATAGCTCATCTGTGATGTATCTTCAGGGCGGGCCTCCTGGTATGCTCTGACTGCGTGTGGTAGTTTGATTTTATTGACGGCCCAATTACTGACCCTCCTGTTTTTTTCCTGGAACTTTGCCATCCTTCCTACTCTGACTCCAGGCTAGCCTCTGGTATGCTTCGGCCAAAAGACTATAGCAGAAGAGCTGTCAGGCCAGTGCCACACCGGGGACTCAAGAGTCCTTGCACATTTCCACTTAGTCTCTTGTACTGTTGGCTGTACTTCTGGAACCCTGCCACATCCATGAAAACAAGCCTGAGTGAGGCTGCTGGAGGACGAGAGGCCATCTGGAGGAGAGCTGAGGTGCCCCAGCTAACGGCCACCGCACGCTCAGAAGTGGAGCCAACGAGACAAACTGCAGCTGACTACAAATGCGTGAGGTAGCCCCATCAAAACCTGAACAACCGCTCAGCAAGTTTAAATCGTTGACCCAGGAAATTGTGAGCTAAATAAACAGTTGCTGCTTGAAGCTACCAAGATTTTTGGTGGTTTGTAACTCACATTATCATGATGATACGTGACTGAAACTCAAGTGACTTGAGAAGCTTTCTCCAATGCTAGAGATCACTAATGAGGACCCCTGCAGGGGGCCCTCCACCATCACAGCACACTCCCTCCATGGGTTTGCCTGTCTCTCCAATGTTCAGCTGCTAATCATGTCCTCTGAGTGTCTTTGTGAATCACCTGAGAGCCTGACAACAGGGGCAATTAATATTGGTCCTGTGGAGGCAGAAGACAAAGGAAGAGTCTCATGCAGGAGAGGAGGTGGTCTTTATCTGTTATTCTCCAGATCCACTTTTTGCCCATCTCTTTTTCCAAAGCAAGACAGGAAGAAGTGAGACTATTCAAATAGCTAAGATGTGTGATCCTAGGTCCAGACTTTAAGGAGGAAGAACTCTGGTTGGAGGAAAGATGCAAGTCAGTACAGGTGAGCACTGATAACCTGTAAACAAGAGATTGTTCAGGCTGAAGCATGGTTAGAACACAGGCAGGACTATGCCTTTAGTACCCCTTCTCCTGCTTCTCTTAATTCTCCTCTCTTCCTTTCTGGCCCTAGAAGCCTCCATCCTATCCCATCAGTAAATCTCAGGGAGGCATTTAGTTAGCCATGGCTTAAGATGTTACCCCTTCCAGAGGTAACTGGACTCTCATGTAAGCATTCAATACACATACACACACACACACACACACACACACACACACACACACACACACGAAATTTACAATGGGGCTGAGCAGGAAGCTTTTGAGGCAAGGAGAGGCCTTTTAATGCTACCTAAGTTGTACCAACTGACCCTGCCTCTCCCCAGAAAGTCCTCAGGCTACCCTTCCTCTGTCCTTCTCTCCTTTCCCTACCTTCCCCTGTCTAATTCACAATCTCCCTATTTGTATCCTTCTTTGTTTCTGTAATATTATATGTTCTGTAATTGCACAATGTAATTTTCCT